TTGGAATATTTTGGAATAATTTCGAATAATTTCGAATAGAATAGTTTCGAATAATTTCGAAGATCTAAGAATAATGGTGAAGAACCTGGAATAATGAAGAATATTATGGAAGTTTACCGAAGAAAACTGAATATTTCCGAATATTTAAGCAGAAATGCAAACATTTCTGAATATTGTTGAATAGGGTTAAACACACTGAGAAGTACCCTTCTGAGAACCCTCCCTATCCTCATAGAAGAATGAAGGTCGGTGCACTGGCATTCGCCCCTGTGGGCATGTCATTAGCTGGACCATCGTGGCGGCAAGTCAAGAAGTTGGAGTCTGATAGATGGCTGCTCGTCCTTCGAGTCCACAGCTCAGCTTCGGAACAAGAAGGTTGCTTCGAACACGAAGGCCGCACCTTCGCGATCGTAGAGAGCAACACTGCCAGTCTGAAAAAGTCGTATGTCGAACCCTGCTTAGCTCTGGAGGTGGACATAACCGTCTGCAATCCCGAGCCGCCTCGTTTTTGGACGACAACCAGGACTTGGTGTTGACAACTGCGTCCGAAGAGGTGAAGCCATTTTCTTCGGCGGCTGCGAGGGCGCCGCCCAGAAGACCAGTAGAGACGGACCCGGAGAGCGACAGTTACTCCAGCGACGAAGGTGCAGTGGACCTCCTGGAGCAAATGAAAGGCTCGAGGGCAACTGGTCAGTCGCGTGGCTCCTCATAGGTCTGGAGGTTCCTTCTGCCCGACGAAAGTTCGGAGGAGAAGAAGAGTCGCTCGAGACTATACCGGCTTTCCTGAAGGCTTCGCAAGACCTGGAGAAGCGCACGAAGTCTTGGAACTTGGGCGCCGACAACGGGCAGCCCCAGCCTCCAGAGACTGCCGACGTGGACACGAAGGGCAAAGGCCCAAAGGGAGGCAAAGGCCGCGGACACAGCCAAGACCCTGCGAAAGCGGACGCCTGAAGCCAGAGATGCCTCAGGTGTCTGATGGTGACATAGATTCACTTTTAGCGCTGCTAAACAAGCACCATGAATCCTTTCCTAGGTTTTTTATGTGTTACTCTTCTACTCGTGACAGGCTAGAAGAACGGGCCGTATCATCACCGCACACCGGTGACTGCATGTTTCCGTCCCTTTTGCAACTTGGAGGGTTTGGAGCCTCTCTAGGAAAGGCCAGTGGCGACAGCGCCACAAGGGACGAGGCGTGACCCGGCAAGCCACGCTGTCAAGTCTTATGGGCCTATTTGAATTTCTTAGAAGCAGGTTGCCCTGCGACGCAGTGTAAAGTGCAAGCATGGCGCCGGCGAGCTGCGCTGCAGCCATGGACCGCTACCCACGCAAGTCACGCTTCCTTGTTGTTTAGAGCCGTTCTTGAGTTTTGCAGCCTCGAGGTCGCAGAGGCCCCGGGAAGAGGCATCAAGAAGGCCCTTGAATTAGTAGAGCGCATATCCTTAGGTGCATGTGAATGGGATGATTTACGGCAGAGCGCACAGTATGTGAAGCCTGACAGGATGTCTTTGCCTGATGCAGCAGGCATCGTTGATCCAGCCGAATTTCTGAAAGGAGAGCACCGTGAGCAGTCCTCAACATGTCTCGTGATGAACCAATCGAGCGCACACCTGTAAGCAGTCGCAAGCCGCCATCGCGTGAAATCGCATGACATTGTTGAAGTTTACACAAAGCTCTTGGACTCTGGCGTCGCAGTTCTGTTTCCAGAAGAGGAAGCTTTGTACGACAGCAAAGGGTGCCTAATTTCAGGAGGTCTGTTTGGAGTCCCTCACAAGGCTCACAGTGACCGCGTCATCGATGATAGAAGGTCGTTTAACCAAAACGAGCGCCGACTCGTTTGGGCGAAACTGCCTCACGGAACTCTGTTGACACAGCTCGTTCTCAGCAAAGAACTTTCCGTTCGTGCTTCAGGAGATGATTTAAAGAATTTCTTCTATCTCCTAAAACACCAAGAGGAATGGCTGCCAAGGCATGTTGTTGGCTCGCCTGTAAGTGGAACGTTTTTGAAAAATACGGTGCCGATGCCTCGCGGCGGAACGTGAAAGCGTTTAGGTTAGGGTTGTGTGCTGGGAGATGTTACTGCGGTCGCCATCTGTCAACAGACCCATGTAGAAATCTTGAGAGATGCTGGCCTCATGCGTCCAGAGCATGCGTGCACTTGAATACGACTCTCCCCTCCCTCTGGAGCATAATCTGGAAGGCTTGTATATTGACGATCACGTCGTCATTCAAATTGGCCCAAAGAAAAGAAACCGCCGCAAGGTAGTTGAAGCAGAGATTTCGCTTGACGAAGAGCTCATCTCCCGTAGCCGTCAGCAGTACAAAGATCTGAAGCTTCCTGTCTCGCAAGACAAAGCCCTTCACGAAGTCCTCTAGGTTTAAGATTTGGGGTACTCCGGTTGATAGCGCGACAGGGCGTGTTGGGACTCCTTTGCACAAGCTGCCTCAAGCTGCGACAGTTGTGTCAGGTGACTTGCAGCGTGTTGAGACTCAAACGGGTTAGCAAAAAGTGTTTAGAGCAACTCATAGGTCTTTTTGTCCATCCGTTCATGCATCGTCGTCTTTACATATCCGCGTTTGGAGAAGCCTACTCGCTGCTGGAAACCTGGCCAACCAGTGGCCGTAAGACCTTGCCCAAGTCACCCAAGTCCTTGTTGGAAGAGTTCGTTGGTGCTTGTCTCGTTCTCCCCCTGTGCCATACCAACATAAGATGGCCAATAAGCCCGCGTTTGTCTTCGACTGATGCCAGCCTTACTGGGGCAGGCCGTTGTGCAGCAAGGACGACCGAGAGCATAAGCCGTCTTTTGCACCGTGCTTCCGAGCACAAAGGAGAGCGGGTGCGTCTTGATTGGGAGTCTATAGGAGTCGCTCCCTTGACGGACATGAAGCGCCCAAACCGGCATCTCGAGCGCCTAGCTTCGGTGCATAAGTGGGTCGTCACCGAGTCTACGCGGTTTAAGCAAACACGCCACATCAATATTCTCGAGATAGATAAGATTCATAGGGAGTATGCTGACCTTTGCATGAATGTAGAAGGCGGGCTGCGTGCGGTAAGCTTGACAGATTTCCGTGCAGTTCTTGGTGCCGTAGCAAAGGACCGCTCGAGTAGTCGACGGCTCAACAAGCTTCGTCGCAGATGTCTCGCAATGAGTCTGGCTGGTCATAAGATCATCTAAAAATCTGCAGGTTTCAACGGATCATAACCCTTCTGACTACCCGTCAAGGTTTAGACCTGTACCTCCCCCGCAACTTTTGTCGCTCAAGGAACGGCAGCTTCTAGGGATTGATTGGGCTAGTTTGCAAGAACCTTTGAGTAAGCACCAGCTTTGGCAGTGCTCCCGGGAAGCAGCTGCGCAGACGCCTAGACGGCAAGGTCTGTTCCGCTTTCGAAAGCTTTTCACCTGCGAGGCTTCACTTTCGGAGTCTTTTGAGGCAGTGCAGGGCTGGTCTGTCCTCTTCCCGCAACCGAGTAAGCATTCTAGGTCCACCCAGTATCATGAAGAGCTCTTGGTTGGAAGTGGCTTCAGTCTCTTGCTGAGCGAGGCAGCACAGCCGGACCAGCTGTGGCACTTCGTTTTCCCGCACGTCGCTGCCGCGCAAGACGCGAACGTAGCAGAAGAAATTTGCCGACGCATTTTGCTGTTGTGCCATCGACTGCATGAAGGGATTGCTGACAATATTGCTTGGGATTTGACCAGCACGCGTGCCATGTTTGCCCTCACATATGCTGTTGTCGTAAACCTCGACTTGTGTGCTTACAACGCTCGTGTGCCGGACAACCAGATGTCTGGCGCCGTTTCGTTAGGCCAATCAGATTCGCAGGCACTCTACATGGGCTTTCCAAGCTCAGCCGCCGCTGCCGTTGCTCAGAGAAGCACGCTGGCCTAGCTGGCTCTGTCAGAACCCCCGAGGGGTGGTTCCGTAGGACAGCTTTAGCGGGTGGTTTTGTTGACGCTTTTAAGTGCTAGTTCGTGCCGTAGCGAGCATACCATCTCGTAGAGATTGGTGGCAGCTCAAACTGTCGCGCTTTAGCAGCCGCTATCGCGCCCTATTGTTGCAGGCTGCTGCCTGTCTCTTCAGATACTTGCGTGCTGAGAATCTGCCGGATGCTTTTGCCATAATACGACGCACCCGGTTCGCAGACACAGTCCTGCTCGGCTTTGTGCAACACATCTGCAAATCACCAGTCCCCAGGTCTCTATATTTGGCTAAGCATGCTCTATTTTTCTGCCAAGCTGTTTGGCCACTCAAGAACTGAAGCCGAGGGGAGTGCGTATCCCGATGCCTCTTCCGCTTGTTCTGTCTATGATCATCGCCGCTCGTGCTCGCGCCCCTCGGGTGGTGGGTGTAAGTCGTGAAATTTGGCTCTTGTTTGCGTGCCTGCTTGAGGTCGGTTTCTTCGCCTTGTTGAGGCCTGGCGAGCTGCTGAATCTCAAAGCTTGCGACGTGGGTACGCTCAGTAGCCTGTCGCTGGGTCTTCCGCATTGAATTTTGCGTATCAGTTGCCCGAAGAATCGCAGAAGTTTGGGACCTGATCAATTCGTTGTTCTCACGCACCCGTGTGCCTATATGTGGCTCACGTATTTTGCGGGCCTGCACCGGCCGCACGAAAACCTTTGGCTGGCTTCTCCACAAGAGTTCAGGAGCAGGTTCCACAGTGTTTGTCAGTGCTTGGGGCTTTTGGACTGCCGTTTGACTCCTGCCAGTCTTCGAGCCGGCGGTGCTAGCTACTTGTACTTGTCTGGCATGCCCATTGCTTCTCTCAAGTTCATGGGTCGTTGGACCAGTGAAGCAACGCTGGCTCATACATACAATTTGCAACCACTCAACAAGTCTTGTTGCGCCTTTCAGACCGCACCTCGCGCAATTTGCGACTTCTTCTTCTGCAGGGGTTTCTCTTGCTCGAGCCTTCAGCAGAGGTCAAACGGTCCCTGCACAGGTACCAGCGTGTAGACTTCCTGTTTCCGGAACCTACTTCGGTGGGAGATATCGCGCGTTGCTCCATGAATACGGACAACTGGAAGCAGCGGTTTCGCATGGCAGTCATCAAGGGAAGTCCTTTGGCAGGCGCATGTTCTTTGGACGTCATAGATGATTGGCTTAGTCGTGCCGCTGTTGCCTACAAGGCCGACACCCGTTTTGAGAAGTTTGCTCGGATGGCCACTGCGTCGTCATCCAGCATGCAAGGCAGTGGGCTGCCCATCCCTGGCACGCCTTCACCAGAACAGCCGTTGCAGTCTGAGCGTGTGCAACCGTGCCGTATGGCCAGACGTGTTGCACAGCCCCAGCACTTTCTGCCGTATTGGAGAGGCGCGTGTACGCGCGAGTTGGTGCGCTTCCTTTCAGTTTGCGGGCCTGGCTATTATGTGCCTTGCTTGTAGTGCTTGCCAGGCCCCTGGCCGTGACTGAGCTGGCCCGTGGGCTGGGTGGCGTCTTGCGCCTTTGCATTCGGCGCCTTCTAGAGCTGCTGTTTTACATCTTGGACCAGTTGCTTGAGGAGGCTTTGCATCAGGCTACCGCCACTGTCTATGTTCTGTTCGCAGCGGACCAAAGCATGTGTCCTGCTCAGCTCACGGCGCCTCTTCTGTCACAGCTGCTCTTGGTCGTGTGAGTCGTGTGCAGCTCTGCAGTCGGAGCCTTCTCCCAGTACTTGTTTCTCTTGCTACATCGGCAGCGCCCCGTGCTGCGCTTGTAGCTGCCCACCGCCGTCCCTTCCCCTCCATGGGGATGGGTGGGTTGGGAGCTGCCGTGCCAGCATTTGTGCCTCAGGTATGCTGGCAAGCAGACTTTGTCAGCTGCGACTTGCAAACTTCCCTGCGATGCAATCTGCAGCATCATATTTGGCATTCCTACTGCCAGCCTCGTAGTTCTCAGCTGCCATGACACATATACATCGGACGGCCCATTCGATGAAAAAAGCCGAAGTTCATTGCCTGCATTGCATGCTCTTGTAAATGAGAAGAGTGAGGGAATATGATCTGCATATTTCCCAATCGATGATTCATGAATCCCCATGGTCTGCGGACAAAATCGTGAATGGTTCCGTGTAAAGAAATATTTTTGTTTTGTGTTGTAAGCCGACAAACCTATTTGCTCTTCTTTTCGCCATAATTGCGCCGCAAAGATCACACTTTTTTCCCGTGCGACAGCCAACCGATCCGTATACCAACCTGTTTTGCGCTTCTTCCACAAACGTTTACGGCAGAGGCCACATATCCTGTCTTGCAAAACGGCAATGTTGTGTGTGTGTAGCAACTCCTGATCAGCACGAGGGAGGAGGCAAGTACTCAACTCTCAACGTTGTTTCGGAACTGTTGCAAGGAAGCCTTGCTTGCCGTGTGCGAGTCTTAAAGTCGAATCACGCAGGGGATGGGAGTGCATGTGTGCTGGTCGTCTCCCATCAACGAAGACACCAGCCACATGCAGTGTAAACGTACCTGCGGGCAGTTCCTGGACGCCGTTGTGCATAGCTGGTTTGCTACACATTGGGCCAGGACCCTCAGCCCTTGACGACGACGTGATTAGACAACTCCTGGGCACTATAGAATGCCGCTGGATTGTCCCGGGGCCCGGATCCTAGCCCATGACGACAAACCTACGCGACGACAAAACAGGTCATCCCGCCGCAGATCGACATTCTGCAGACGCCGGCTATCATTGATAACACTCCAGTGTGCGGACGAAAGTCCAATAGGCGGAGGGCCCAGCGGTGCACCGTCTAGATCCCTTCGGGGCAATGGAGGAAATAGATGAGGGCATCCCTCCCAAGTCGCACAAACATGCAAAATACTCTCAGACATCAACGAAGAGCCTCCTGGTAAAGAATCGAGTCACAAAGTACCCACGTGTCCCTATGAGTGTTCCTTACTCTGTGTGTGTGTCGTGTTTGTCTGCCTGTTCATGTGTCTGTCTCTCTCTCTCTCTCTCTCTCTCTCTCTCTCTCTCTCTCTCTCTCCCTTTTTTGTTGATCGATCGGACTTGCTTTGTGTGTCCTTCTTTTGTTTGTTCGTTCCACGTCCTTCCACCGTCTTTCGCGTATATGTTGGGACGGGAGGTCGGGCCTTGAGCCACAAATCAGGGATTTTCCCGCGGTTTGGCCTTGTAGCCGAAGCAGTTCCAATCAAGATCAGAACATTTCTTTGTCGATCGAGTATGACATCACTGCAACGGCGACCGCGGACTATCCGGTTGCACATCCTTCGCGCTTGATTCGTGTCTTGGTATGTGCCTGTGCCCGGCTTCTCCAACAGGAACGCACGCTACTTATGATCTGAGCCATCCCTTGCTGAACCTCCTAGTTGGTTTGCTTCTTTATTGGCCCCCTTATGTTGTGGTTTGAAATACTGACCCTCGTTGAAGTTCGACGCTCATTCAGCCTAAGACGTGACTGTGAGTCTGCTCGCAACGACTTGGTTCGTGCCGTGGTATGCGCCTTGGTACGTGCCTTAGTATGTGCCTTGGTGTATGCCTTGGTGTGTGCCTTGGTATGTGACTTGGCGCCGTATGTGCCTTGGTATGTGACTTGGTATGTATACCTCGGTATGTGCCTTGGTTTGCGCCTTAATAAGTGCCTGGATTATGCCTGGCAAGAGGCCTTCAGAGCGTGGGTTTGCCAACTCAAATGAGCAACTAGCCGTGTCAATGTGTGTGTGTGTTTCTGTGCGCGTGTGTGTCTGTGCGTGTGTGTGTGTGTCTATGTGTGTGTGTGTGTGTCTATGTGTGTGTGTGTATGCGCGGGTCTGGATGTGCCTTATGCTACGCAACGAAGCAGCTTGACTTGTGACTTAGTGTGAGACTTGGGGTAAGCCTGTGCTGCAATCTATAGCTGAACTTCGCCACAAGTCACTGGATGAATTGGAAAGTATCTTGGTACGAAATTCGGCTTTCCCGAAAACGCATCTTGGTATGAGTCTTGGTTTCGTTATTGAATGTCGTTCGTTATTGAATGTCGGTCGTTGATATCTCTAAACTTCGCATGCTCTGTAGTGCACAGAATCCGCGAAATTCCGGTGCCGCTTTTCGCCCGTCAACACTCTCTGCGTGTCTTACTCTTGCACTGCCATCTTGGATGTTCTAGGCTGTATTTCGTGCACACCAACTGTTGTCTCAGTTTTTGGCTTCATGCAGAGAACAACCATTGGCATGCATGCATCTGTTATGTTTGCAGTCTGTTAGCTTTGGAGTTTGCATGTTAGTGGCATGTTAGTTGTCTACTGGCCCTTCGCCGGTTTTCGTCGCTTGCTAGCTGTCAGCGGACAACATGGACATCCACGCAATCACGGAGGGCTCAAAGTGCAAGAGTCGCGGCCCACCGCCGACGTTGATGACACCCCCTGGATTGTGCACACCGATCGTACCATGCAGAACACCGTTGCCACCACCACCACCTTCTGGAGTTGGAGCCCGTACTTCGGCTTTTCATGCGAATTCCCTCGGGTCATCATGTCACCTTGCCCTTCCACCAGCTCCACAACCCCTACCAGGGTTACAATTGGAGGTCAGCAGAGGCGATGTCAAGGTCACCATGAAATGTTTCGATGCGTCCTTCATTTCTGACCTGGTTCCAGCCGTGAAACAGATCGTTGACATGTTGGAAGAACCTGCTACCGATTCTGGCAAAAGACGACTACATGCATTGAGCTGTGGTGCAACTGGCAGTCAAGATACACTTCCTCCTCGAGATACAGATTCAAGTCACGGTGGTGTAGGCGAGAATCCGGGTTGGGTTCGTGTGCAGTACTCACATGATGGAGAAGACGATCTTGCTTTGTACTTTCACCTCATCAAAGTCTTTTATTCGGATTCTTCTTTGATGCGCTGTATCAAATACGGGGCTGAGTACAAGTTGGACGGCGGCTACTTCGTCCCCGTCTCCCTACGTGGCTTGCTATTCAAAGACATTCGAATCCACGAGTTAGGACTGCGGCATGTTCGGTATCATTGGGGACATGTTTACACGATTTGTCTCGAGCTACGTTCGATGATAATTGAAGATCCCTACCGACCTCGCAATGCTCTGGAGATGCACTGGGAAAGCTTACAACACTGCAAATCACAGCTGCACAACCAAAACACAACGTTGAGGCTTTCTGTCTGCTTTCCTGCTTATTTGGAAGTCCTGTCCGGCTTATCGTTGACAGCACCAAACATTATGGCGCTTTTGGAGGAGCTCTCGCCCGCCGTGATGAGTCTGAAAGGGTTCGACACCAGGATTGGAAAGGTCAAGGTTGTGTATTCTACCGACGGCGAGCCTTGCGCGATTGTCTTGGGGTTGAAATATGATGAAGATTATTCGCCACGTATTCTTCGCGCCAAATCAGTGTATCATTTCATCCATTCTACACATACAGAAGCTGCCAAGTCAATTTTGGCAACTCATGTCATCCTTCCATCTCTTTTCGACTTACGGGACGACTCATGGCTACCACCGACTGGGTTCTACGCCAGAGCGCAGAGGGCGGCTTCACGGTTGTCAATCGAAAGCATGTGCATCCCTCCCGACTCCCTTTGGTTGCAGGCGCTACAGTTTTCCGACGTGAGATCTGTGAAATCCAGGATGTTTTGCGGATTGGCGTATTGCAGACAGTCGGATCATGGGGTAGTCCGGCATGGTGGGGTTGCAGCTGATATTGCTGCCGGTTACTTCTGTGACGTGGTGCACTCTGTGTCACATAAGAGGTGGCTTGTACGCTCATCCATCGCAAAGATCACCACCGGAGTGGCGATCGGCTTAAAGCCAGCACGTTCTTCTTAGTCCATGGCTGTTTTGTACACTTTCCAACACAAGTGCGAGCGTGACATATATGAAATTCAAAATTGCGCGGTTGCTCTACTCGTGTTCACAGTCTTGTACTTTGCGTTTGACTTTGATGTTGCTGAGCTGTGCAGTATACCCTGCCGCAAGCTTGTGTTGCTGTCACTGGGCATGCACTGAACCATGTAGTTTGCGTCCGTTTTGCATCTTGGAGTTAGATGTGTGCCAATAGGGTAAAAGTTGGGCTAGGTACTTCGTTACACGCATCCCGAACTTTACCGTTCCATCCTTTCGCACTGGTCATGGTCGTCATACGAGTCAAATCGAGGCTTGAGTTGTAGGTCTTTACCGGGTTAGCTGGGTTCCCGTGTTGATGAACTGATTCTGAGCTGTGTCACAGTTTTGGCCCGAGTTTCTCATTGCCCCTTTTGGATTCCTATTCTTAGTATCAGTATGGGCCGATCCCGTAGTCGGCGACGTTCTCGCAGCGCCCTCCCTAGGGAGTTCAGACAGAGTCGTAACCGATTCCCCCGCACAGCACAGCGGGAGCGACGCTCTCGGAGCCGACGTGCAAGCAGTCATAGACATCGCAGCCCCAGCCCCCCCACTCATCGTCGTCGCAGCCCCAGCCCCCCCACTCATCGTCGTTCAAGTACCCGGTTTGAGGGTACGTATCCCTTGGAGTCCAGCTGGCAACCCGATGCATCCATGCTTGATGGCAAAACATTGAACAACTACAGTCTGCCACGCAGAGTAGTCACCAATGCTTACACTCGAGAGCTGGGCACTGCTGACAAGCCATTATAGGATTTGCGTCTTATCGGTTTTCTATATGCAAAGCAAGCCAACTGGTCACTCAGGCTAGTTGCGCATGGGAAGCCTACATATTTTGAGATGTTCAGATCCCGCGGTGATGCCATCTTCGCTTCCCAGCTGCTCAAGGCCATTAAGGAACACTCAGCAGTGGATATCAACAACATTCTTGTCCAGCTAAACGGTGGGCCTTTGGACCTGTCTGATTGGAAATCTCGTCAAACCTTCATCAAGAACTTGATCGACAAGGTTGTCACGTTCATGCAGACCCTAATGCCCGCTGATCCCTCTGTTGATATGATGAAACGTCTTGAAGCATTGGAACGAGAGAATGCCGCACTCAAGGCCAATGCCACAGGTCAGCCCGGCGAATCCGAACCCGTGCTCCCAGCTCCCGCCGAAACCCCGCGCGGCTCCCCGGGCCATTTGCCATCATCAGATGACCGAGGTGACAAACCTCCCCCAACCCCAGGCATCATACCCGCCATGTTCCGTACATCGGCGAACCCCCCAGGCAAACCCCTTGGCAAGTTCATGTGTGGTGGTAGCAAACCTTTGTTCGAAGACAATGCCCCCACCTCAGCTACGGGACAGAGCATTGCACCTTGGTTAAAGAAACAATTTGACTCCAACCAGAAGATGAAGAATTTCGACGTCATCCACAGGGAGGTTGAGGAAGCCTACAACCAGTTGGATGCCGGAAATCAACCACAGTTAGGCAAGCTTTTGGTCGGTTGGGGCTTAGATGTGCAACTTACTGCGAAACTTACACATGCGAATGCTTTGAAGCTGCTGGCTGCCGCTCATGCCCTTCGGGAGTGACTACGACGCAGACGAGTGAGTTTTGGCTTTAAGCAAGCATGCAAACGCTTTTTCCAAATCCTTTTAATATGGTGCTCTTGGATCGCAGAGGATGTTTTCCAGTGGCCCCGACCCCTTTTGCGCAGATTTCTTTGGCTTCGAGCTTGTGTCACCATGATGTTAGTTCACATTTCTCCGACCGCGCGTATGCGGAAACTTCAAGCTGTTCTGTCCTCATCGCCAGAAGCTGCATGTTTGACTTTTGAGGCATTTATGACTGCAGGAGTGATCTACGTTCGCCTTTCGCCGTTTCGGAAACCATTCTACATTGGTAGCTCTGAGTTGACATTGTTTGATCGTGAGGTGTCGCGTCGTGCCAAATTTAAGCAACTCGTGCAGGAAAAGCATGCCTTTTATGAGTCTTCGTTGCGGTGGTGGCGAGCTACAGGCACCTACTATGAATTCGTTGCAATTCCCGTGATGTGGCAGCCGGACAAAACATTGGTACGAGCAAAGGAAGCAGCACTCATTTCCAAATGCAGGTCGATGTTGAATTATCCCTGGATCAACCCGCTGCTGAAAGCTGCACATGTTCATACTCCTCGGTATGCGGTTCCTGGTGTTGATCAACGGTGTCGTGAGTCAGGTCGAAGAGCTTGTCGACAGCATTGCAGGTTTGTGGCCAGGGCTCCGTATCGTATTGGAAATCTGGGCAACCCTGACTTTCAGAACAAAATACGCTTGTTTGGTTTCAACTACAAGTTGGGCTCCACCACAGTGGCCAAATTCAATGCATCTCGCGTACTTCTCAGTGCAGACACTCCTATTTCTATGTTGTATTTGCTTTTGCGCATGGTGAAACATGCAGATGAACCGGTTCGCACCAATGCTCGCAAACAGATAGTTTCACTGCTACAGAAGAGAGGAGGCGACTGTCCGCCTACTGCCTGTTTGCTGAAGTTAGTCCCCGTGTCCGCATCGTTCCATGAAGAAGCGAAGAAGTGGTTGTCTGGTTTCATTCGACATCATCGTTCCAGCCTTCCCCCCTTGCATGTGTTTTTCGTCCATCTTTCACTGAGTTACGTCTCAGATCATTGGGCAAATTGCTGTTTAACTTTCGCAAAGTCCTGGAGCGTTGGCATCCCCTGGGATCTGCTACCTGTGTCTGCGACTTCTTTCAACAAGTCTGTCCAGATCATGTTGTGACGGTTTCTGGTCATGTCATGGCCCCGGCACATGCCCTTCTCGCCAATGACATTCTGAGTACGGCATCCATGGACGACACCGTATGGCCTTCGCATGTACAGTTCATGCAACATAATCTTGAGCAGTTTGCTACTTGGTTATGGCGATGGAAACTTCCAGCTCATTTACAAGCGTATTGGCGAGACTTCCTACAGCAGCAGTGGGACGTTCATGCCAAGCATGCTTCACTGCTTCCAAGTTGGGATGTGGTTCGGGTTAGACAGTTACAACACGTGTTGGTAGAATGGGTTTTGACTCCAGCTGATCATTTTTCACAAATCTTGCATTTATGCTGTCCAGTACACTACAACTTCCTGCTGCAGAAGACTTTTGATGACCCTCTCGTCTTTTCTCCATGTCGCAATCCAGCTATGGTTGTATTGAAGAAGATTCGACAGAGTTTTCCGTGCTCGTTGAAAGCGTACACCTGGTCATTACACTGGACAGGACGGCTGCCTGGTGCATACATTTTGCCTAAGCCCAGCAAGGCGTACGCGACAGCGCGACCTATTATCATATATGCTGGTTCATGGTCTTCCAATCTTGGCAGGATAAATGCAGCATGTATGCTGATCATGATGGTTAGTGTCTTTGGTACCAGCTCTTCATCATCCGTTCAGAACATTCTTCGCGCTGTTTGGATGTGTATGAAGCGAACGCCAGTTGATCAGGAGGTTATTGGCAGACAACAAGACCTCATTGGATTTTTCAACACTGTACCACATGCCAGAATCGTCCAAGATGTTGAGTATTTAGTTCATCGGTATTGTGCGGTTCAGCGGGTCACGATGGATTGTCTACTGCAGGTTCATCAAAACCACAAAGAAAGACTGCAGCGGATTTTTCAGGGTAAGTACAGGGCCACGACGCGGCAGTACCGTCAAGTCTGAATCAGAGATTTGGTACCACTAACTCGGTTCATGCTCGTGCACAGCTTTTTTCGACTTGGTCGACAAGTGTATCGTCAACATTTGGGTGCCGCGATGGGGTCACAATGGTCTCCGGTGGTTTGTGCGGTGGTTGCTGCCACTAGGGAACACATGTTCTATTCGTCACTTCTTGGCACTATCCGACTCGGAGATCCGTTCCAACCTTTCTTTATGGTGGCCCGCTATGTTGACAAACGGTACATGGTATACCAACCTGGAGCTGAGAAACACCCGTGCTATTCTCTTTGGACGGATTTGCAGTTCTACTCACATCCTATTCTGTTGGAGGAAGTTGGGTCGGATTCTCTTCTTGGGTTTTGTGTGGATTGGCAACAAAGGACCATTACATTTCGTCAGCCGGTTATGTTGTCAAAACTACGAGGCGCGCGGTCTGCGGGAGACAAGCGATATTGCATTGCAGGTTTTCATGCCAGAGCTTTGCTTATTAGTCGTTTTGTACGACCAAGACACTTGATTCCAGAACAAATCGCGGATCTGGTGCTATAGTACTTATGGAAGGACTTTACGTTGAATGATTTCACTCCTCTTTTGGTGGCGTTGGGAAAGCGCTTTCAAATTCCATCGTTGCCCCATATCGTGGCTTCGGCCGTAGCGTCCCACTAGTTCCTGCCGCCGAATGTACAGTTGTTTGCCACTAACCCTAGTGTTTGCATGTGAGCGATGAGCCAAAAGTGAGCGTTATTGTTACCGCAGTCGCCGGAATGGTATTCTACATCTTATTCGCCATCGATGTGTCCCACCCGGACAAACGAAACAGCACCAATTTGTTACACGATAGGCTTTCTGCACGCTTGTCGCCATGCGGTATGCCGCACTCGCAAACCAAATTCGCGGCACCATGATACTATAGTCTTGCTGGTACGGCATTCATTTAAAATTTAGAAACGGACCGAGAACACTATTCAAAACAACCCGGAGGCCATCTGAGGAGCGCACAATTTTACTACATTTTAATACGTGCTGCAGTACTTCCCCCCAATAAGCAGAATTCGCAAGTCTGTGGCATTCTAGGTCTGAGTACGCAGTGCTCACATGTCTGTCGCGCGTTATATCTTCAGGATGTGGCAGTGTTTTGCCCCTCAATAAGCAATGCTCGTATCAGGATGTGGGAGTGTTTTGCCCCCCAATAAGCAATGCTCGTATCAGGATGTGGGAGTGTTTTGCCCCCCTATAAGCAATTCTCGTAACAGGATGTGGGAGTGTTTTGCCCCCCAATAAGCAATGCTCGTATCAGGATGTGGGAGTGTTTTGCCCCCCAATAAGCAATGCTCGTATCAGGATGTGGGTGTGTTTTGCCCCCCAATAAGCAATGCTCATATCAGGATGTGGGAGTGTTTTGCCCCCCAATAAGTTATGCTCGTATCATGTCCTTAGCATGTGGTATCTGAACTCACGTCATGTCAGAATGATGCTGGTGGTTTTTGGTTCTCCTCCCAATATCTGAAGGCTGTGATCGGCGCGGTATCAGAATGATGTTACGATATGCGAATGGGTTCTCCCAAAACCTAGGGCTGCGCTGCACATGCCATCCGAATGACGATGGGGCATCTAGCAGTGCTCATTGTCATTGTCACATTTCAGGGCTGAGATACGAGCGGTATTCATGCGATGCTGGAACCCCAAGTAGCAGTGCTCAAGGGTCTTACACGTTCTCTTGGTGAGTTACGTTTCGCTTTGAAGGGTGTCGGAAAGATTCCCAAACAGGCAATGCCCAGCAATGCTCAAGTTTCGTGGCTTCGAGCTTCGAGGGTACTTTCGTCTAAATTGAATGCAGCCACCGTAATGTGCATCAATAAATCCCAAAGGCACCAACTTGTTGCGGAGGATTGTTGGTCGGTGGTACGTATCCTGCATGTTGTAGACCAAGGTGAACCTTGGAAGTAGGCGCATATCTTTCATGTCGCGTTTCATTTACGATGAAGTGAAGACACACGATATGGGTGTTAGGCCAGGTTAGCGGAGAGAAACTTTTCAGTTTACGTCCTGCACCGAGCCCGCAGAATCCATCTCATGAATGACACATCATGACATTTTCCGCCCTCCGTGGGCGGTTGTGTGTGTAGCAACTCCTGATCAGCACGAGGGAGGAGGCAAGTCCTCAACTCTCAACGTTGTTTCGGAACTGTTGCAAGGAAGCCTTGCTTGCCGTGTGCGAGTCTTAAAGTCGAATCACGCAGGGGATGGGAGTGCATGTGTGCTGGTCTCCCATCAACGAAGACACCAGCCACATGCAGTGTAAACGTACATGCGGGCAGTTCCTGGATGCCGTTGTGCATAGCTGGTTTGCCACACATTGGGCCAGGACCCTCAGCCCTTGACGACGACGTGATTAGACAACTCCTGGGCAGTATAGAATGCCGCTGGATTGTCCCGGGGCCCGGATCCTAGCCCATGACGACAAACCTACGCGACGACAAAACAGGTCATCCCGCCGCAGATCGACATTCTGCAGACGCCGGCTATCATTGATAACACTCCAGTGTGTGTTTTTCCGTGCGTGGTTTCTGCGGTAGCAAGATTCTATGGATCTTCGTTCGGTCTGCGGAAAAAGTCGTGAATGGTTCCGTGTAAACAAATATTTTTGTTTTGTGTTGTAAGCCGACGCACTCCTGTGCGCGCTTCTTTTCGCCAAAATTGCGCGGCAAAGCTCACACTTTTTTCCCGTGCGACAGCCAACCGATCCATATAGCAACCTCTGTTGCGTTTCTTCCTCCAATGTCTTCAGCGGAGGCAAGGAATCCTGTTTTGCAAAACGGTGATGTTATGAAAATTGTGGAGAAGTTGGGTTTTCTCTTTGTGCGGTTCCTGCGGCAACAAAATCCTGTG